GTGATTTATAAAGAAAATGTAATTTATTGCTTACAGTTCCAGAGGCTGGGAAGTCCAAAGTCCAGAGAACACATCTGGTGAGGATCTTGGTGGTGGCAACAGTTGGGTCTTGGTGGTGGCGACAGTGACCCAGAGGTCTCACATGGCAGAAAATGGTGGAGCAGAGAGAGGGACACTCTTCATGCTCTCCTTTTAAAGCCCTCAGAACCACGACCCTGACCACCATTATTAATTCATTCACTACAGCATGGTCCTACAATCTAATCACCTCTTCAAGGCCCCACCTTTCAGTTACCATAACAGGATTTCCCACTCTCATAACACTGTCACAGTGAGGGTCAAGTTTTTGGGGGACACTCAATCTGAGGCATTCTTCCCCTGCCCCCCCCAAACTCATGTCCTTTTCACATACAAATACATTCATTCCATCCCCAAAGTCTTAACTTGTTTCACTTCAAAAGTCCAAAGTTCAAAGTCTCATTTGTGAAATGAATACAAGTTATCTACTACCAAGTGGTGGTACAATGGTGGAACAAGAATAGGGTACATATTCCCATTCAAAAAGGGAGAAATAGGTTGAAAGAAAGGGGTAACAGGTCCTAAACAAGTCTGAAACCCAGCAGGGCAGGCATTAAATCTCAAAGCTGGCAAATCATGTACCTTGATTTCATGTTCAATGTCCTCTGCCTGCTGGTATAGGGGTTGGGTCCCCAAGTCCTTGGGCAACTCTGCTCTTATGGCTTTCCTGGTCTCAGGCCACACTTCAACTCGCACAGGCTGGTATTTCACACTGGTAGCTCCACAGGTCTGGAGTCTCCATGGTGGTCCCGCTCCCACGGCTCCATTTGAGTTTAGCAGCAGCAAAATCACATTTCATCAGAGCTAAAGGGGGCACACAAAGGCCTCTCTGGTGAGGAGTCCATGGGGGCCGTGGAGAAGTGATGTGGCAAGGTGAAAAGAGTAGGGCCTTTGGAGCCCCAGAGTTGGACTTGAATCCCAGCATTGCCACTTAAGACCACGTGTATATGGACAATCACTTGACCTCTTTAATCTCCATTTTCCTCCTCTATAAAATAGGGGCACAATTACTTACTTTGCTTTGTTATTATGAAGCTAAAATGACATAAAGCAGATGGTGCAATGCTCAGTAGAATTCAATAAATTCATTAATTCAACAAATATTTACTCACTGTATATTCTAACTGAGATTTAAACCTTTGCGACTCTCCTCGTGAAATAAATGTTGGATAGTGTGGACTTAGGTCTCAAAAAAATAAAAGGGAAAGGACAGACACCAGCTGAAAAGAAAAATTCTAAAAGGTTACAGCATGTACAAAGGTCCTGAGGAGGAAAAGAGCTTAATGTATTCAAGAAGCAAATCAGTTGGAGTAGGAATGTTATGACATACATAGCCTGTATGTCATAGATGAGGAAACCCAGGCTCAGAGAGAATAAGTGACTTGCTGGAGATCACCAGATTTTAAATGTCAAGGTCTGAATCAGAAACCCTACTACTGTCCTATCTGTAAGCAAATGAATGCGTAAATGAATGTTTGGACACACAATGGCATAGAGACATTTTTCATTCTCGTGGGAAGACTAAATATACTGAATGATATTGATAGGAAGTCTTTAGGCATTTATACTGGGAGATCTCAGTAGGAACTTAGGTCATGATGTTACTTCGGGTTCATAGAAGGAGAAAGGGTTGGAAAGGGCAATCTAAGTAACAGGAAGGCATTTCAGGATGCTTCGTTCCATAAACTATTTTTAGGACTTCTTCCCCCACCAACCCCCCTGGGTATTACATGACAAAATGAGACTTGGTATTTAAAGTGACTTGTATTACATGACAAAATGAGACTTGGTATTTAAAGTGACTTTATCTAAACCTGGACAGCTTGAGTGCTAGACCGATGCACGACTTTGCAAGGGAAGTATCTGAACATCTTGGACTTCCTCATCAATGAGAGTTCTTCATTGGACCTTGGGCCTGATGCTGGCAGTGAACCCAAAGGGCACCACAGTACTTACACAGGGCCCCTCAGGGAGTCCCCGGTTCATCCCTCCCATCATACTTGCCCAACATTTGTCTTCTTAGATAGTCAAGTCCAGGTGGGCCAGGACTTTCCTGCTGCTTCATATGACTGAGGTCTGCCTGCTGATGGGTAACAATCGCCGACCCCTTAGCCATGCGTTTCTGTTGTATTTCAGCAGGAGAAGATGCTCACTCTGCTGGTGCTCTTCCCAGGAGATCCCATGCTATTGTCTCATTATGGCTATAGATGCTGTTCTTCACTGAATTCCCATAGACGTTCATACCTTCCATAAATATTGTTTTTATTATGTCTGCCAAAACATTCATTTTTTCATTCTCTTACTATGTATTGAGCACTGTTCTAGCTGCTGAACTGAAAAATTTTAAAAANGAGAGAATAAGTGACTTGCTGGAGATCACCAGATTTTAAATGTCAAGGTCTGAATCAGAAATCCTACTACTGTCCTATCTGTAAGCAAATGAATGCGTAAATGAATGTTTGGACACACAATGGCATAGAGACATTTTTCATTCTCATGGGAAGACTAAATATCATACTGAATGATATTGATAGGAAGTCTTTAGGCATTTATACTGGGAGATCTCAGTAGGAACTTAGGTCATGATGTTACTTCAGGTTCATAGAAGGAGAAAGGGTTGGAAAGGGCAATCTAAGTAACAGGAAGGCATTTCAGGATGCTTCGTTCCATAAACTATTTTTAGGACTTCTTCCCCCACCAACCCCCCTGGTTATTACATGACAAAATGAGACTTGGTATTTAAAGTGACTTCATCTAAACCTGGACAGCTTGAGTGCTAGACTGATGCACGTTTGCAAGGGCAGTATCTGAACATCTTGGACTTCCTCATCAATGAGAGTTCTTCATTGGACCTTGGGCCTGATGCTGGCAGTGAACCCAAGGGCACCACAGTACTTACACAGGGCCCCTCAGGGAGTCCCCGGTTCATCTCTCCCATCATACTTGCCCAACATTTGTCTTCTTAGATAGTCAAGTCCAGGTGGGCCAGGACTTTCCTGCTGCTTCATATGACTGAGGTCTGCCTGCTGATGGGTAACAATCGCCGACCCCTTTGCCATGCGTTTCTGTTGTATTTCAGCAGGAGAAGATGCTCACTCTGCTGGTGCTCTTCCCAGGAGATCCCACGCTATTGTCTCATTATGGCTATAGATGCTGTTCTTCACTGAATTCCCATAGACGTTTATACCTTCCATAAATATTGTTTTTATTATGTCTGCCAAAACATTCATTTTTTCATTCTCTTACTATGTATTGAGCACTGTTCTAGCTGCTGAACTGAAAAATTTTAAAAAGCTCTGCTCTTGGGCCACTCATAGTGTAGGCAAGAAGAAAGACATAAAATCAAACGATAATACAATATAATAAATGTTAGAATAAAGATTTACATAAAATGCTTTGGGAATAAAAGAAGTCATAACTACATTTGTCTGGTGTCTTTAAAATGTCCAAAATTCACAGATAATGATGGCCCCTGGAAGTTCCACAGAAAATACTTTTCCCTTATAAAGGTTTTTTTTTTTTTTTTTTTTGGTCAGAAAATATATTTTCTTAATTAATGGTACTTAAAAACATGTGGTGCAATGTGGTTATCTACTGGTTGCAAGATAAGCTTTGAAACCACTGTATTTCTTGGTACGATGAGGACAAAATTTTTAAAAATTTTAATGTATCTTTAACTTCTCATTCATTCATCATTTATTCATTCATTAAGTATTCAATAAATATTTATTTTGTGTACAGTACTACTATGTACCAAGTAGGCACTGAGGATACAAGAGATGAGAAGAAAAGTCAGGTTTCATGTAATGGTGTGTCCATGCCAGTGAGGAAGGTAGAGAGTAAACAAGTAATATAGTAAATATAATTTAAAGTAGCAGGTGCTATGGAGAAAAATTAACCAAGTTAAGGTGATAGAGTGTGACCAAAGAGGTGGAGGTGGAATGGTGAGAGGGGAACAGGTAGGGAAGAAGCAATATCTGGGCAAAAACCCAAAAGAGGGGCCAGCCCGGTGGCGCACTGCTACAGTGCACCGCTTGTGAGCGCGGTGGCGCTCCCGCCAAGGGT